CCTTGTACCAAACTTTGTGTGTGAACTACCTTGTACAAAAAGTGTGTGTGAGCTTACCTTGTACCAAATGTGTGTGTGAGCTACTTTTTACCAAAAGTGTGTGTGAACTACCTTGTACCAAAAGTGTGTGTGAACTACCTTGTACCAAAAGTGTGTGTGAACTACCTTGTACCAAATGTGTGTTTGAACTACCTTGTACCAAATGTGTGTGTGAACTACCTTGTACCAAATGTGTGTGAACTACCTTGTACCAAAAGTGTGTGTGAACTACCTTGTACCAAACTTGTGTGTGAACTACCTTGTACCAAAAGTGTGTGTGAGCTACCTTGTACCAAATGTGTGTGTAAACTACCTTGTACCAAATGTGTGTGTAAACTACCTTGTACCAAAAGTGTGTGTGAACTACCTTGTACCAAAAGTGTGAGCTACCTTGTACCAAATGTGTGTGTGAACTACCTTGTACCAAAAGTGTATGTGAACTTGAAATATTAAAATATAGTTGTGTAAAAAGGTATGTTTACACTAATCATAAGTTGACCGACATTGACTTTGGAATACAACAATCCTAGCGCCCTATTTATATGCATAATTATCTACACTTATTAAATATGACGTATACATACTTCTTTTCTTGTTATCAATATTATTTCCATATCGCTTCAATAGAAAGGTGAGAAAGTCTGTTTCCTCTTTTTCTGTCAATTCCTTCAGGTCCTCCTACAACAATCGTAAGCAAACAATAAAATAATCCACTTATTCCCTAAAATTGAATTCACACATTGCAATTCTGTGAGGTACAATCCCTTGACAAAATGTCGCGATTGTGGGGAAAAATAAAGATAATAAAACAATGTGTTGGGAACTATATTTAAAAAATAAATTAAAATGTTTAACGATATATTAGTTACAGTAATTTGTGGCGTGATAATACATAAAATGCGAAAATATTTGTTCTCGCTTGAAAAAACTACTGTGCGTCCACTTTGAACCCACACACATTCGTAAAACTACTGTGCGTCCACCTTGAATCCAAACACATTCGTAAAACTACTGTGCGTCCACTTTGAACCAACACACACATTCGTAAAACTGTATTGATCAACCTCAAAAAGTGACATTAAAAGGCAATTCATCTTCACACAATCAAACGTTTTACTGTTGTTAGTTCGACAATGTGCGATAGCCTTTGAGCTATTCTTTTTATATCTAATTTCATTTCACATATTTTTTTCTCGAATTTTCAAATGACGTAGTTCATTTTCCCATACAAAGCACATTTTGATATTGGCCAAAATTCATGAGTTCTCAAATAAAAAGGTGAAATCTCAATAACAGTACTACAAAATTCCGTATGATAAAACGCGTAGTTTTAGTCTCAAATATAACACTTCTTCACAGACTATGACGAATAAAATTTACAATTCGATCATATAATCTCGCGTTAGTAGCTAATTAACTATCTAGCTGCCCCAGTAGACCGTAGTGGGCCGAGTTCTGACCCTTAAACTAAACAGTGAGACATCCCATTGTTCCCCCGGAGGTGTATTGTAAATGACCATGCTTTTTTGGGTCTAATTGTAAAGATGGACAACGTCAATGAAAAGCCAACACGCTTTACTAATGAATGTCCTCGTACCATAACGATGTGCTATTCAGACGTGCTATTCAGACGTACTATTCAGACACGCCGATCTCTGACCTCGATGCAGCGATGGTGATGAGTACTGCTGTTATGGACTCGGACAAGAATCACGTTCGGGTGTGTGAACACTAGAAACAAAACTAGGCCGGATTGTCAACAACTTCGCCACACCCATGAATTTTGTTTTCATCATCATAATATGCAGTATGATAAAACTAATGTGCGTGTAATGGTTGAGATGTTTCACTATTTATTTAGATATTTAGTTGAGTTTGCGACAGATATACGCCATTCTTTCCTATGGGCTACTTTAAAGGAGCCGGTCACCTGAATGTGTTACTTTGATATGAACGGAAACGCTGCTATTCAATAGTAACCGTGGTTCAATTTCACTTAAGTGAATTTACTAGTATAACAAGAGGAATGTGTGTAGGGCAAAATATGGATGTGTGACGTCACGAAAAAAAAAAGTGTGAGAACGTTTACAAAACTTAGGGCGGCGTTGTTAATGATTGAAACATTATTTGAACTTCTCATTATAATGACATGCCACTTACCTCGTAATTGTTACTTGGTGCACCAACGACCACGTTGACAGCCAAGAAAACAGTGAAAGCGCGGATACACAATGACATTTTCGTCATCTTGTCGAGCTGCGTAACGACGGCGACTCCCGAAACGAAGCTACTGACCTTGATAGGCTTAGTCAGGGCACTTTATAGTAATCGGTGACACCAGTGGGGTGCTATTGTGTTCGGCCATTGTGTATTCATCATGTCTTTACTTGACGTTGTACGATTGAATGCAACGGAGAGAAGAAAATAAACTTCTTTTTATCGGGGAATCATGCTGATTTTATTACATAAATCGTAAAACGTCGGATGCATGATCAGACTTGGTTCTGCCTGTGATTTCCGTACTTATCATACTTTCATAATGTGAATAATTGTGATCACCGGGTTAAATTTTCTGTTCTTATTCTTTTCGTGTGGGTCCTATTAGTGTATACTGCCCTCCACGACGCACTAGGTATTCGTAGGATTGTTCACCGCTAGCGGCGCACTGAATTCGGGAGTCAGGAGTTTAGTGACACGTGCTCTAATTTTAAGCGTTTATATATGATACAAGATTGTCTAGATTGTTTTTTGTACAACTTGATTGCAGAATATAACACTGGAGTTTGGGCCGGCCCATGGGTGCTAGCATGCGATATTGTATTAAGTTAAAACGGAATCTGGTGCAAACTGTTTTTCATGGACACAAGCACAATATACAATATATATAATATACAACAATTTGAGTTTATTTTGTTATTTTATGACTGAGATATGTTGCTTAACTTACAAATCTATAAATGAATATTAGGTTAAATTTCATTTTACTTCAAAATATGAATAACCAATATATAATGGTTCGTCACTAGTAACTACGCATGGAGTGATTGGAACAGCAATGTAGGTCTATTTTTTGAAAATGTAATAATTGTTTTTTGACTCAAATAATTTGTCATTATTGACTATTCAATTAAGATAATATTACTTATTATTGCTCACAACCATTCTAATTATGTTGGCACATGAACATGGCCTAGACCACGGTTACTAAAAAAGATTGAGGACGAAAAATATATATCGACTCATGAAAAAAAAAATGTAACATCCACTGTGACGTCATGGTAATTCAAAAAGCGTTTCACAATAAACACAGGTCCACGTGTGTTTAATGTTCAATTAATTCACACATTCGCTACTCTCTAAAATCCGTATGTATGATGACGTCACGATTACATTTTAGGGTTAAGTACGATAATTACTGAATGAATACGCTGGACTGTACGGCCAGCCCCAGGGTGACACACTGTACGTACATGATGGCAAACCCCATGTAATATGATTGGTTTTTGCCGGAATGAATTTGCAAGTTGACATGATTCCACCAAGAAAATTTCGGAGAACAGTTCGGATACTTGTTGTATCAATATGCACGCTTTCTATTCTCTGTTTGAAGGATATGCTCTACAGTGGTAGCACACGGTAAGTAAAATTGGTGTCCGAGTGTGTCATCTTCTTCACCATTTTGTTCATCCTTGTTCGTAGCTAGTGCTGTTATAATCACTGAATTATTCCTCTAAATATCTGTTTAACACATGACGGTTTGGCACATGAATGATTTGTAGTCGACTGGTGTACTGTTGAATAAGCACTAGTCGGTGACCATCCGCCTTGCACTAGTACAATCTGCCTTCTTCTTCTCGCGGAGTTTCTAATGGCCAAACCTAAATCGAATAAAATACCAAATATATTCATAGCCGTGATGGTGAATGTCACACTATGGCCGTCCAATCACCAAATAGATACAGATACATTGAGTGCAATGATTCGGGCGTGTATTGGAAGATACCAGCGAACTGTAACCCAAAGCATGACAACGCGCAAAAAATCCGGAATTTTCAAGACACAACCTTTTTGTTATTTTTTCTGCTTCTTAAACTAGTAGTACGAATGGTGGCGCTGTTCTGAAAATGGTTGAATATGACTCGTATTCGGTGAGTATAAAATATCACGTAACCTGAAGATTATAGTCCATATTTGCAGTCCATGTGCATGGGTTTGAACACAAAGCGAATAATTATATTTGGCATCGAAGTTAGAATGTGACAAGACGAGATTGATGTTTCCTTCATGCAGAAGATTTTCCACATAGAGCATTACTTATATTATTGACGTTTAATTACAAACGTATTTTTAAAGTATGTTTAAATAGTTTTCTTGATAAAAACATGAGGGTATAATTTATCGTAACAAAACAATAATGCTGTGCTTGCAAATATTGCAATATTTGTTTGTTGGAACACTGAAAATGTGTGTTTTAATTGTCTGTACGTACATGCAATACGGGGAGCAGGTATTACAACCAAAGTGCCGGATTTGTTTTATGAAGAATTGTGCCCTAATATGTTTTTTAGATGCAATATTGAAAATAATTTTTAAACATTATCTCTTCGCACTATTAGGATATGGATTATGGTATGACCTATTATCAAGACAGAACCGCCATTTCTACATTTCAGTCCGAATACGCTACACGAAGTCCAAGTAATGTTGCCCTGGGACAAAATGATCGTAAACTAACGGGTTTCACGCTCAAACCCGTGGTAACATCGACTTCTCAACCTGCCTATCACACCCGCAAGACGATTTCAATAAAACCGATGATGGAAGGATGTTCTGCCAAAACGGACATTGTATTTTTAAAAACGCACAAATGTGGCAGCAGTACTGTTCAGAATATTCTGTTTCGTTACGGAGACAAGTACAATTTGACCTTTGCTACACCGAAAACTCAATTTGTTAACAACATGGGCTGGCCAAACTACTTTGATAAGAGATTTCTTCTCGAGGTTCCATGGAATCGATACAATATATTCGCATTCCACACAAAGTTTAAATACAAATGTAAGTTATTTCAAAATTATTTACAAAACCACAAATTATGCATAAACGAATCATATGAATACATTTTTTTGACGTTTATCATTTCTGTTCAATTTCGCGCGAAAAAAACAATTTGCTGAGTTTTAGAGAGTTTCAAAAACCTACATCTTGTGCTTACCACAACAAATCCCTGGTACAATGCGTCTACATTGCAATATTCAGTGGCTTCGAAATGCACCAATCCTGGCAGTGTGCCTTTTTTTGCATTACAATCAATCAATCAATTACCAATCAATCGTCTTGTAGTAGAAACAGACGATCCGTGTACTCCTTCTAAACCTAGCGCTGATTGGTCATTTGCCTCCATAGAGGTTAAATATATAAGCCATGTCTGTATTAAAATTATGTTTAAAGTGAAGCGGGAAAACTACTCTGGCGGAAATCAGAGAGTTCATGTAATCTAAACACAGTTGTCTATTCGAGCGACATTGCTTTTAACCTTGTACGTCATTTTTACGTCACATAATCGTTTCGTCACTAGAGGGCGCGAAGAATATAAGTTGTGTCCTGAATGAATTACCCGGAGTGTGAATTTAATAAGTAGTGTGAACTTAAAGTCAACGCACATGCAAATACAATTAGTTTTTAATTGCGACAAACACATATGAACTACACATTTATTTTATTTTAATCTCGATGCATCTCGAACAGAAAATCTGAATTACTTATATCGATTTGAATAACAAAATCAAATCTTTGAAATACTAACATCAGCAATATTTATAAACCAAGACGACAATTACATTCATTTCCTCAAGAAGATATTCAGACGATATTCACAACCCAGTCCAATTGACCCCCAAATCCTGGTCTTTATTTTTTAAAGTCTAGATTCGACATTTCAGGTGTCTTTGCGTCTTGCAGTGTAAGACACGACACTAATAGTTTACTTTACAGCAGTGGTCGTTGCACCGCGTCCTGTTCGATATGGAACTCTTAGCGACGTATAGAAGGCGTGTAAACTACATTGTTTATTTACATGAAATTCGAACAAGCGCTGCGCGACGACCACCGCGCTTTAACCACAGTCTCATACTAATATAATTTTCTTTTACAGCTATCAGTTCCATAATGTCACGTGACAGTGTCTACATCACCATACTGCGAGATCCCGTCAACCAGTTCGAGTCCGTGTTCAGTTATTATCGAATAGATAAAATGTACAAAATTCAAGCAGACGACATCTCACAGGCGCTCAGAGTTTTTATCTCTAATCCATTGCGTTTCTATGAAAAGACACCCATAGTTTTGGCGAAGAACCCGATGTTATTCGATTTAGGAATGGAGATTTCCGCGTTTGATAAAAAAGAAAGAGTTTTGGAGAAAATTCGTGAATTGAACTCAACATTTGATTTCGTCATGATTGCGGAACAAATGGACCAGTCGTTAATCTTACTACGTCATCTTTTATGCTGGGATCTCGATGATGTAATTTACTTTAGTTTGAACGCGAGGTTGTCATCAGAACGGCGGGGGACTGTAACACAGTTAATGGCTAACAGGACGCGAAACTGGAACGCTGGTGACGTCATTCTGTACGACCATTTCTACGAACTCTTTCAAAGACGAGTTCTGGAATTCGGAAAGGCGAAAATGGCGGACGAAGTAAAGAAACTGAAGCAAAAGAAATTTGATCTCTATAAATACTGCGTCAACGCCACTGCAATCAATTTGTTGACGAATCAGACATTCCTGTCACCCGGGATTGATATAAATAGTTTTCTTGTCAATAAATATGCGCAGAACAATTCCACGTGCGTCAGGTTGACGCAATTAGAGTTGTCATATACTGAAATAATCAGAGACAAACTACTACAAAATATAAACACATACAATTCAAATAATCGTCATCACGTGACTCATGATAATACCACACACTTTGATTTCCAAAACAACACAGTACAATGAAATACCCTTTTTTTAAGTATTTGGGGGATGAATAAAATGATTTTTAATTTTTTGAGATGCGGTTAATAACATACTAGTATTGGGTTTAAAACTATCTGGTGATATTGTTTATTTTGTCTCTGAAATATAATATTTGCGGGTTCCGTCGTGTGCGCGAGTTATTCAGTTTGATTACGTAAGCACCACATATTGACATTTCCTCCACGTGACTAAAATTTGTTTGTGAATATCACTATATTTTACACATACCTAGCAAGTCATGGATTGGTATATGTAATTGTAGAAAATTACAGCAAGACTAGCTACTAACTAGGATTGACAAAATGGCGGATTTGATCACGTACTGTGACCATATATTTTCTTGTACGAAACACTTTATTCCAGAAAGTTCATCGTTACCCTAAGAAATTAGGATGGTGATCCATGGAATGTACTCTAGGTGATTCTGAAGCGTGCACGCGACGTACATCTTCCACAGTAATGTGTCAGGGGGGAATTCTCTTTCTCTCGGGTCTCCACACTTGTCAGGGGGGG